AAAAACAGAGACACCATGTATGCGAGATGTTTCCTTTGGAGACAAAACAAACCAGAGGGGCGGATAGAAGTGCCCAGAAGAAGAGGAAGAAGACGGAAGATGATGTTGGATGACCTCGGGGATAGAAGAGGATATTTTAATTGAAGGAGAAAATTTAAGATCGCATCAAGTGGAGGAACTGTTTTGGAAGAGACTGTGGACCTGTCGTCTGTTCATTGGAAGCTCATCAATTTTGTCTTTCAGATATTCCCTCTTTTTGTTCCTGAAATGCCTGCTGTTTTCACGTCTTATATTGTTCAGATTATCCGCTTTTAACTTACTTGGATCCTGTAACCATTGCAATTTGGCCTGCTTTCTTTTATTTAATAATTTTGAGCATCCTTCATTGAACCTTGGCTTATGCTTCTTCGGTTCATAATCACCTAGACTCTCCTTGGCAGACATTTTTATATTTTCTCTAATAGTTTCCCAAGCTTTATTAACATCAACCTCAGTTTCCAAGTTTTCCAAAGCCGTGAACCTATTTCAGATTTCAACACAATACTGTTCTTTACCCTCTACCTCATTTAATTTCTTGAGATTGAACCTCTCCATATGATCTGTGTGTGTTGTTTGTTTGCTCACTGCCAGTCTTTCCCTAACCTTTGCCACCACCAGGTAGTGGTCAGTATCACAATATGCTGCCGAATATACTTGGGTGCCGTCTCCTATCTATCAAAATATGGTCAATATGATTGTGTATCTTCCCATCAGGAGATGTCCAAGTAAATTTATGGATGTTACGATGCGGGAACATTGTACTTTTGACAGTAAGATTTTTTGATGTGTCAAAGTTTACAACTCTAACTCCATTATCATTACTAATTTCATTCAAACTCTCATTCCCAATCGTTGGTTTGAAAATGTCTTCCTTCTCTACTTTGGCATCGAAATCTCCCAACAAAATGTTCATAGGGTACTTCGGGAATTTATCAAATATATGTTCTAGTTCTTCATAAAATCTATGTCATCAATTCTATCTACTGTTGGGCCGTGAACATTCATAACATTGATAACACACCAGCGACCTTTTAGTATTATATATGATATCCTATCACTAATGAATTCTACCCTCTTAACTGCTGATACGATTCTCTTATGTACAAAAAACCTGTTCCTAATTCATGATTTTCATTCCTCTTTCCACAGAAGAATGTACAGTCTCCTGCTGATGTGATGCCACCTCCATCCCATCTGGCCTCCTGTACTCCCGCTAAATCTAACTTATATTTTAAGATTTCTTCTGCCACTGCCCTGAGCGAACCTGCCCTATACAAACTTCGTACATTCCAAGTGCCAAATCTCATATCCATTTTCATTAGCTCAGGTTGTTTATCCAAAGAATCTGTCCAGGTCTGATGAACATTATTATCTGTAAAAATGTTTAATAACCGTGAAATACAACTTGTAATCTTGAACTTACACACGGAAAGAATTTGCATTCCTCTACCTTGAAGAGAGGCTATCAGACTTCATGGCATCAAAATTCCAAAAGGCAATGATCTTATATTGTACTCTGATCACTCTGGTGGTAGAATTAAAACTGGTCATCATGGCCATCGTATAACAAGGACGGGTTACTGAGGAATTTACACAGTAACATACATTTTGAAAATTTTGTATAACACAGGTCACAATTACTGTAAAGTTTTGGTGCCTCTTCCAAGGAGTCCACACAAATATCGCCCTCTGTGGAAACTGGGAAAAAAATAAATATATAAAACTGGGCATAGATACGAGGTATATAATATACTAGATCAGCTTGCAGGGTGTTGTATGACCAAAAAAAAAATGGTAAACGTCTACATTATAAGCTCAGAAGTAGTTTTTGGACATGGTAATGAGGAATATGGTTAAAAACTTCTCAGACTTTTATTAGGAGTGAGATATTAAGTATCGCCATAAGAAGTCTATCTTGATTCATCATCATCATCATCATCACTGGCACGACAGCGCTTTGTGAGCCCTGGCCTTCCTCAGGATTGCCCGCCATTCTTCTCTATTCGATGCTAATTCCTCCAGTTCTTTACACCCAAAATTCTTATGTCCTGCTACACACATTCTTCCCATCTTAACCTTGGTCTTCCCATTCTCTTATTTCCTTCTGGTTTAGTATTAAGCATTTTCTTGATGGTTCTATTCTCGCTGGCACATATTATGTGTCCAGGTCTATCTTGATTGCCAGTTGGTTTTGTGGTTTCGAGAATAAGAATGAATTTGAAACTGGCCTATTGATTCTCATTCAATAGCCATTTACCAGAGCCAAGCAGATCCCACCTCACAATATTATGCATTTCCATGTTAAATAAAAGGTCTCTAATAATGTGGTACATTTGGTCAAGGCAGGAACTGTGAAGCCAGCAGAGCCAGCCATTGCTATAGAACAGTTCTGCAAACACACCTGTTTCTAGGCAAACAGATTAGTAACATGCAACAGTGGAACAACTGGGAAGTGGTGTCCTCTATGCAGCCCATGCCAAGGCTATATAATGAGAAGGTTGGTGTGAGGTGGCTGCCAGGCTGGGAGTTAGTCAATTGGAGCAATGACTTAATTGTGAGACCAATCAGCAGTCAGTAAGAATGTGAACATGGAAGCTGAGGAAGCTACGGCATTGCAAGCCTTTATCAGACATCTCGTGAAGATACAGCAGACTGACAAGATTTAGTAAGTGCTGTAGTGAACTGCAGTGTGTGAATTAGCATTGGCACTATAGTTATTTGTAGTTACATTCTGTAAGAGTTCAATAAATCCAATTACAATCCAAACCCCATCTACTGTCACTCATTCGCATGACAATATCACTAGCTGTCTGAAAAGTTTATTTATTATTTGCATCTTGATCTAAAAACTTCAAACTTATTAACACTTCTATTAAGGTAATGAATTGCAGTTAATGTGTAACATCTGATCCCTGACGACAATTATGCTCAATCAAATATACTGCCCTAACTGAGACGCTCATGGTTTGTTAACATGTTAATTCAGTGTAAAGGCTGTCTGCCATTAAGTTCTTTACTTGGCCATGATTGTTGCTGTTTGCATCTTCAGTATCTCATTCACTGTATACTGCCTTCTTTATCTAGGGATGTCACCTGCTGGATTTATCATTCTTGGTATTTCTTGAATGGCAACATTTTCAAATGTGTACACACACCTCTCTTCAACTTCTAAGCCAAAAAATATAAAGGGAAGAGACTACTTGGGAGAATAATACTACAATGAATCTTGAGGAAATGGGAGATGAGGGTATGGCCTGGATTCATTTATCCCAGCATAGGCAAGTTCTTGTGAAAACATTAATGGGAATCCAGATTCAATAAAGGACAAGGACTCCTTTTCATTATCTGAGAAACCATGAAACTTCTCAAAATGATGTAGGATTTAAGGTTCACACACTGGCAGTTATAAACAGTTCTACATAATATAACACATGGGACAAAATAATAGGGCTCAAATAAAGATTTTGTTCAGAAAGATTACAAAAGCATTTTGCAACATACATGTAGCGTGACACACAAAACACGCTACAGTATAATACACAAAATCTTGTACATGAGACATTATTTTACATTTTCCTTCTCAATGTTTGCACCATGGGTGCTACTCCATTGAGCAGGCATTAAATGCCATCCTATTCTTATGTCACATTCATAATTACATATAAACAAAACTCATCTGGCTAGCCTTCAGAAGTCCAAAAATTTAAACAAGGCAAGGCAAATCAAAATTAGCAACCATAAATACCATCCAACATACAAGGAAGTAAAGCTTTACCTGTCTTACAAGTGGCAAGTCACAATGCTTACATCAACAACTGCTGCTACACAGTAAAACAAAAATGGTAACAGTGACCATGTAAGGAAAACAATGGAATGAACAGTGGGAAACTAGGAGAAACTGCTTCGATTGATTTACGACAAATGTCTTAATAACACACATCTTAGATGAAAGATCTTCACCTCTTTTAGAACAATCAAGCAGTTGCTGTAATTTGGACTGTTGCATGTAAGTAGAAAAACATTAAATGAGTATTTTCTCTGGCTTGTGGAAGTAGGAAAGAACTTAAGTTCTCCTCTGTTATCACACACGTTCTCCTATATGTATCCTGGAGTTAGTTACGCATGAGCAACAGACAGGACAAACTCCATGTAACAATGTTTTACTCTATTTATGCTTTGATGGGAACAAGTGACAGTGATTTAAAATATGCTTGCAGTGGAATTAAATATTTATAAAGTAAGTAAAGCTATCCCTGTACCAGGCCGTGAAGGCCCATAGAGTTGTGAGATGTTGAGGGTCCCACATTATCTAGACAATCGGCTCAAAGATGGCGGCAAGGTTGTCAGCCTTACTCGCTGGCCGCTCTTTACTCCCCAGGAAAATTATTTATAATTAAATATTTATGTTTTGATTAATGACATTTTAAATTTTTAACCCTTGTATTTGCATATGCTATAATTCTCCTCCACTTCCTTATCATGTAGTGGATTACATCAATTGATTTTACTCTCAGTAAATTATAATTGAGCTTAATATAAAATTATGAAAGCACATCAATGCCAATTCCACCTATTTATGTATAAAGTGATACTGTATAGTTTGTCCTCCATCTTGCAACAAGAAATTAGTCTCATTATGGATGGCATCATTAATATCAATATATTGAAATGTTGCAGTCACGTTGTATGTGATGTAAATAGCCTATCACAAACTAACATAGATTACAGGAATGGAAAACTTGTTATATCTGTCATGTCTGAGTGAAAAATCTGCTACACAGCACTCTTCTGAGACAAGTGAAGAACTCCACGTGAGATGTGAAGCCTGCATTTTCACATGTCCCTGTATATTTATTAAGTTATTAGGAATTTAAGAGAGATTAATTATGTATTTTCAATTAAACTAATTTATATACAACCTTTTTCCGTCATGGACAACTTACACCCTTCACATTTCAGTTGGTGTGCTGAATATTTTAACAAGGCAAAACCTCAGGTGACACATAGGAACCATGTTTTTCAGTGTACAAAGTTTAATGCTAAGCACTTATGAGAACAAGACCTATTATAAAATAAGTAACTCTGTAAAACATGCATGCTATATAAAACATCTGAGTTGTGTGACTCATTTCTGATGTCTCATATCATGCGATATGCTTGCAAAGTAGTCTTCAATTGGTTATGGGAAAAGAAACCTTGCTTCCATATTTTTATAATATTATAGCTGCATTCCCTTCATTAAATCTCTTCTGTTTTATTTGAAGTCTTCTGAGCAACCAGCTGCAGCATATGTCCATCAGAAGCCAATACTGATGCCCTTCTTCCACACAGCATTTGAAACACAAGCTACACAATTTGAGTATTTGAAAAGAGTCCTACACCATTAGCACGCCCTTCTGCATCTCCTGCTTCTATCTGTTCTTTGAGCAGCTCCAATTCACGAATACCTGACACTGTCACCTCATATTTGTGCGTTACTAGTGAACGATAGAAATGGACAGCAAATGCCAAGAAGACAATGAGGACAGGAATGAGAACAATGCATGCAGACCATGCTGCATAGGGTGAGAAGTCATAAAATTTTACCCAACAGAGAATTGCTATCTCACACAGGAACAAAAGCAATCCCAGCAGTGTTGAAAATGCCCATGCAGTCTCAATATACCAATGCAGACGTTCATGTGGAGATTCATGTACAAGACTGATGGAATGGAGATTGCATACAGCATCAATATTTGGCAAGATACACGTACTGATCATGAGTGCCAGCATATGTACTGCCACTAGCAGAGTTGTGCAGATTGCAAATGCAATCAACATCTCCTGAGGTACACTTGACTGTTCGCTAAGCTGTACTTCAACCATAGCCACCTATATGCAAAGAAATTCAGTGTTAAAATAATATATTGCAGACTAAATTCTTTACTAGAGCAGAAAAGTTAATTCTTCACTGCACTCAACACAGCAAATTGTAGTAAATTAGTCCAAGAAGCAGCAGTGTAAGTTTCTCATATGATGGATACGAAGAACTCTGTCAATAAATACAAGTCACAATACACAAATGATGGAAAATTATGTTGTGCTTCTTGAAGTTTTTCATGCCAAAAAATCATCAGCTGCTATTTATACGACTGAAGCTGATCTGTCTAAATGCTTCTTTAAGCTGATTTTTGGAAGGCATACGTTATAATGAACTGAGATATGAAAGTTACCTTGAAGTAATATTACTGTGATAAATGTATGATTTATATAATTTTTTATCTGTTGAATAATATATTTTCATATACAGTAAAACTTGGTTATAGCAACATCGGTTTCTGTGACACCTTGTCTATTGCGTCAAATATTCAATGGTACGAACTAATTCCTCATAAAGCAACTGTTTTTATACCTTGCTTAGTACGACATGCACAAATGCATCAACCTCGTATGTAACGTCATTTTCATTCCTGAATTTCTCTGATATGGTGGGAAAGTTTGATGTGTCTGCCCACCCTCACTTTCTCTACTTGCTGACGTGACTGTCCTGGAAGAATACGACCGCGGGCTGCAAGAGGAGCGTGGGTTTTATGCGAAAACAAGGGTGTGGGGTGGGACTGCGTGAATAGTGCAAGAGGACGCAGCAGGTTGTTAACTGCATTCCTTTCCTAGAATCTCGTCTAACAGGACCTCACATTGTCTACTTACCCTATAGTGTTCCTGCCTAAACCCAGAGAAGTGCAGTAGCGAAAACATGGCAATGAAAAGGAAAGTTTTAAGCATTGAAGAGAAAGTTAAAGTGATTCGTGAAATANTTATAACCAAGTTCTACTGTATTTTTTTCTCAAATTGTAAGCCTTTAGTTTTTGACAGATATTCAATACAGTACAAGCATATGTATCAGCCACTAACAGATTGTGAAAGATGTTGCCAGTGTTCAGAAAACAAGTAAGAATCGCTGGAAATGTAATGGTGCAGGCGGACCATAGGATTTGATCCACCTCTTAAACCAAATTGCCCATCTTGTTGTTTATTATAAAGTTGCATTACCTAACTTTAACACTAACAGCTCAAAGATTTAGAGGACTGCAAAGTAGCCTTTATGAGTTCTATCTGGTTCTTTCAAAAAGCAAAGATATCTCCTAACAATAGTACAGCCCCTCAGTACTTTTAAATATTTTCCATAATATTCACATTCAGTATCCGTTAACTTAAGATTTCTAAGCATCCTCTACAGAAGATAGACCACATTGGCAAAACCTTAGTCACATAATCAAGCTGTGTTCATTGATATTATTACTATTAATAATATTTAGTGACAATGTTATGATGTCAGTCAATGCTTACAGTTTCAGACCACTGTAGACGAGGCTGAACTTCATGCACTAAGAGACAATAAATCAGCTAATCCAACCATGCCACAAGAGAAATAAAAAAATTAATGTACTGAGTGGGAGAGGAAGAAGAAAGTACTCAGTATACCCAGATTCAATGTCATAACAGATTTTACAAAGTTTCTGTATGAAATCACTTTAATCATAAAGGACATAACCAAAGGGGTTAGTATGATTTATCCAGCCAATATTCCTAAAATCTGGCTACCACATAGGAACATTGGCTTATAAAAGGCACGGCAAAGATCAGTTTGGGTTAAAATTGTTATTACACTCCAGGTTATCCTAGTATCAAATTTCATATAAAATTAATCTCACTACAACAATCGAAGTCAAAGTTATGTTATGACCGATGGTCAGTCAGCCAGTCTGTCTTGGAATAAAGCACACATCTGGAGCTTTAGGCCACATCTTTATTACTGTCAAATGGTTTGTTGATGTGGGGTGCCTTCTCTGATGAGAAGATGGGTCTGTTTGCCAGAGTCACAGTCAGCAGTAATAAGTCTTCTGTCAGTATGTACTATTTACATTTTAAATGTAATTAAATTTATGTACATACAACATACACAGTGTGTCCAGGATCCATTAGGACTCATTTTCTTAAATTTTGCCCTGCAATGTTATCTGTTGGCGAGTTGAGGCGTTAAGATTCTTGAAGTTTCAGCTGTGGCTGTCTATAATTTAAAAGTGCAAGCATCGCTGCATCATGTGTTCTGACCTTGAATGTAACAGTACTGTACTGACGCTCATCGGAAAATGGCGGCTGAACAGAGAGTCAACATCAAATTTTGTTTGAAGTTGGGCAAAACAGCGGAGAAGCATACAAAATGATGAAAAGTGTGTACGGTAGTGATTGTTTGAGTCGCTCGAACATTTTTTGATGGTATGCTATATTTCATGACGGCAGGGAGGACACTGAAGACACTCCACGTGAATCAAAGCTGAGAACAAGTTGCACTGAAGTAAATGTGAAAAAAGTAACCAAAATCCTTGCATCAGACAGATGTGTTTCTGCAAGATTCATCGAGGAGCTTTTGGGAATACCAAAAAGTACTGTGCATCAAATTTTGACCGTGATTTTGGGCAAACGGAAGGTCTGTGCATGGTCTGTACCGCACACACTGTCAGGTGATGAAAAACATGCTAGAGTTGAACACTGCAGAGACATGTTACAGTCGGCCCAAAGTGATATAAAATTTACAAAATCGATTGTTACTGGTGACAAGACATGGTGTTTTCAATATGAGCCTCTCACAAAGCGGCAGAGTGCAGCGTGCTTGAGCCCAAAGAAGCCAAAACCCTAGAAAGTGCGCACGCAAAAGAGTTCAGTAAAGACACTGCTAACCATTTTCTTCGATTCAAAAGGAATCATTCACAAGGAATTTCTGTCAGAAGGTCAAATAGTGAATTCTGATTATTATCTCGGAGTCCTCAATCGTTTGTGGGCAAGAATTCTTTGAATTTGACCTGAATATCAAGAGCAAGGTTCCTGGTCGCTCCTCCACGACAATGCCCCACCCCACAAATCGAAGATCGTGGGTGATTTTTTGGCCAGAAAATGGATCACAGTCCTTGATCATCCTCCGTATTCACCAGATTTGGCTTAAGCAGATTTCTGGTTGTTCCCAAAAGTTAAGTTGGCGATGAAAGGAGACCTTCACGACACCATCCAGGACATCCAAAGGGAATCTACTGCAGTCTTAAATGCGATTCCACAGAAGGAGTACAGTGACTGTTTCTGAAAACTTTTCAAATGATTCCAGCTATGTATTGATTCAGTAGGAGACTATTTTGAATAAAAAGAGTGAAGTTTTGAAAATAATTCACGTCTTGTATTTTTAATGAACACAGTCCTAACAGAACCTGGACACACTGTGTATACAAGGCCTCTGTCAGTCCAGGCTCAATAGAGCAGATCATGTCCTATCATTAGTAGCTCCTGCTACAACAGCAGTCTAGTCACTTGAACAGTCCTCTTATATTTCCTGGGTTGGGGTTCCCCTTGTCCAATGGTACAAACATTTGCATTTTCGTGATTTTTTATGACTTCTGCTTGTAGCTTGCATAATTTTCTTATATAATCATATATTTATGGAAGTTTGAAAGCCATGTGCAAATTGTGAATCAGTGTGCACCTTGGAAAATTCCCAATCATGCGGAAAACTGTTTTGTAGGAGCTGCAATTTCAATAGATGGGTTGTCTGCCGCAAACTCCAAGGCGGGGCAAGCATAAGTCATGATACTCCTTTGAGTCCTTTGTGGAGGGTCAATTTAATGTTAGTGCTTAATCACTCACTTTTGAATAGGAAATACATTCTAATAAATGTTCTGAAGGCCTTGGCTTCGGTCATTTGTATGTGTAATCTCCATGTAACTTTCTTATCGAAGATTAGACTAACATATTTTATGCCATTTACAAATGCAATGGTTCGTCCATTCAGTGATAGATGGGACTCTGGTGGTTGACTTGGAGAGAAGTAAATCCCAAATCTTATCTTCATTAACTGTAATATTCTAGTGCTCACACCAGGTCTCCACCAAGCAAACTCACTACAGTTCAGAGGAATATTAAATATGCAATTTCACTGTATCGCAAACACAGCATGTAGTCCCATATAGTGGGGGGTGGAGTCCAGCTGGGTCCACTTGGCGCGGCAGCCACAGATTGGTCTCTTGTACTTGCCCCAGGTGATTATGATGGAGTATTTGGTGGAATGAATGAGCTTCTACTAGCGGCATGTGCGCACGCTTCCACTAGCGGAGTATAAATGCCCGACTGGCCAAAACGGGGTACTTTGGCCACAACGACCATACTCATCACTGGCCTGATCATGGCACTTTGGACGTTAAAGGTTAATATATGAATAAGCAGCAAGGTCCATCAAGTATAACACGTTTAATAAGAGAATATAAAAGTTTGGCTAAAACAGAGAAAGGCTCTAACTTTTTACAAGACGTTACAAGAGACATCTTGAGCAATTACACATCTTAATAAGTAACATCAATCAAGTGTAACAAGATTAACAGGAGTACATAAAAGTTTGGCTAAAACATATAAGGGCAAACTGTTCTATTCTCATATTAACTTGTTCTATTTGATGGACCTTACTGCTTATTCGTGTATTTACAAGACCATGGATTATGTTGCAGAGTTAGGTTTGAGATTTCTGTAATTGTACAACTAAGAAAAGGGACTAGATCCACCACTCTCATTTCCACTTTGTGGTCACTGCAGACAACAGACAGAGATACCTAAGAGTAGCATTTTTGAGAGATCCATTCAATCTTACTATACACATACCCAAGAATAAGAACATCTTACCATAGCAAAACCTGAAAGAAGAGCAGAAGTTTTACTAGATGCCTTTAGCTTTGCTCTGCTCAGCTGAAGCTTTCTCCAAGAAAGGTAGCCAGGAGTATGGAGGCCATCACCTGATTGCGACATCTTCTCCTGAAAGGTTACAATTACGGATGAACACATATTGAAACAATTATTATATCAATGCATTGCTACTACACTAAATTCAGTATTAGTTCAAAAACAATAACACCTACCAGACACTAAACTTGGCCTTCCAAAGATGGCCTCCAATCAGATGAATTGACACTGTAACCCTCTTGAATGATCGGTTATGATAAATATGGAACATACGATTAGTGTTGTTGCACAAGTCTAGCAAATGAACAAAACAGATAGTTAAAGAAGAAGAGCTTGCCTACAGCATAATTACAATTTTACACATATTTCCAGCAAATTAAACAGTTGTTCTGCCTATAGTAACAACATTCTACATAGTAATAACAATCTAGCCACGAACCAAATATTACAGCCAAGCATATACAATAAGTCACACTTGAAATTGTGTAAAAAGAAAAAGCTACTCAGTTACTGGTACAGAAAATTTGCTTGAAAAAAATGTTACATGATTTGTCAGATCAGAAGCATATAAAACAGGTGACTAAAAACTAGCATTTCCACCAGTTAGAGAAAATATGAAGGGCTGACCTGTGTAGGTCTTCTATTCCAATGACAGTCGTTTCCAATGTACTGCGAAGAACAACCTGTAAAGCACACTGTACGGTGTCCTGAACTACTTGACAACTCAGACATGGGAAATCAAACGCTCCAAATCACTCCACTCCCAAATACCCAAGAGAAACCTGCAAAAAAATGCATGAGTACAATGCATTAAAATTAAATTACCAACTCATACTGCAATGTGAAAATAAGTATTACAAACATATATCACTAGACAGGACAATCTGGAGCAAAAGCCAATATTTCAGAGACTTCTGTCTCCATCATCAAGAAATTATTAAATATTAGTCTTCTGCTCTAAACTGATGCATTGCCCTATTGGGAAATTTTCTGTCACTTCTGGTCACTCTGAAAGCATCCAGCTTTGTATTTCTCTCATTAGTTTCGTTAGCATGGATGGCTCCCAGAAGATGACTGTAATTAAGTAATGTTCATATTATCTTTCAAAAAGGATTTCTCAGAATACTGTCTCTTCATCATTATATCCTATTGTTAATATCACTGTTTAAAATGCTACTAACTTCGCAAGAAAAGTATTTACATATGCACAAAGAATAATAATAATGAATTTGAATCTTTTTATCCACATTGTGTATATCTATAAAATTTCCTTCATGACTGAACAAGAAAATCAGCACAAACTGTACAATCATAATCACTATAAACTGTGTAGTCTCTTTTGATTTTACTACAGTGAAAGCATTCATGTTACACCAGTCCAGAACATATAGAAAAAAGGCTTTATTATTTCTTACTTATTTCTCAGCACCATGTCTAATGCAACATCAAAAAACAGCTACAACAGCAGCATTTAAGATGTTTGCTGAAAAAGACCCACAAGAGTACTTCCACCACTGGTATGGCCATTGGCAGAAATGTGTGACACTGTGGGATAAGCATTTCAAAGACTGTGCAGTAAATGACACCATGACATGTGCATAAGTTTACCAACTTTTGACTCTACAACATACAAGTATAAATCACTGGAATTCAATCTGCTATTAGCTTACCTTAACATCCTTCAAAATATATAATTCAAAATTGGTCACACCATAAAACATTTTTGGGACACCAGAACGCTCATACACAAATACAGGTCAAATACAATAACTGCAAAGGAAAATTTGTGAAGCCAAAAGTTATCGATATTGAAACAAATACATCACGGTACCTCCCTACCACTTCACACTATCTATCTTCTGAAATTCTGTCTTTCAATGTCAAGCACAAAATCCCATGGTTTCAGTGTGGGTTAAACACAATTTTAACGCAGGTCAGCCAAATTGTATGTTGCAATGTAAAGCGTCTGGGGCAATTTTTCTTTTCAAATTTCGATAAAGACACAAGAAAGTGGTATAACATGTTTTACTTCATTGGTGTGAACAAAAAATATGGCTTCATAACAAATAATTGATTCTTACAACTTTCACCGTTTTGATTTCAACAAGTGTACAAGTAATAATGACATTTTATTTCCTGCTACGAATCCTTTCAATTTTCAAAAATTGGGGCTGTTTATTACGTACTCGTCACTGAAGTGCTTCTTTCACGTATTTCACACTGCTCTGTTGGTTAGTGTAAGGTCACTTGGAGGTAGCGGTTAAGGCCATTCTAAGAGTACTTTTTGCTCAGTGTTCTGTAAAATTCTTACAAAGCCAGAAGATGCATAGTCACTCGAATATTCAACTTACAAGGCACTGTGCACTGTATGTTCTCCTCTCCTAACGTAAAATATTACTGTACATGGACACGTAAAATGTCTTACACCTTATGAAAACGCACATCACACTTCAACCCCAATGTATACCTTCCCAGAAATGTCCTTTTTAATTTCTAAAATAATATGTCTCCACGTACTTTCGCCACTGAAGGTTCGTTCACTTTGCCTAAAGACGAGCTGCTTGCTATGATACATTACCAACGTTACCGACCACCTGCAATTATTTTCATTCTGCATGTGTTCAAGGCGTTCAAACGGCCTTCACGGCCAAGTCGACGCAAGTGCTCGTTCGGTTATGTAGAATTTGAGGTTCGCTGAGCAGTGGCTCTTGAAATGATCTATCTTCTGGGATACAATGCCGTGTAGTCTGGTCAAAGCCTACCGATGTTGCGGTGGAACGTATCGGCTACGTCTTCTGGATCAAACAGTAAAAAGGGCAAGAAACAGGCAAAAAGCAGGCAGCAAGCACAGGACTACATTTTTTCAAGATGCATATTATTTCAATTATTTAAAAAAAATGTGGTAAAGTCATTCATTAACGCATATTGTAACATGTTGACCCGTTATTGGGCAACGACCATGAAACAAACGATACAACGGCCATTGCTAGGCAACAGCTTCGTAAATACGTAACAGTACTGGAGCCTTTGTTAGGCAACAGCCGGCGCAAAAATGGAAGTGCTGTTGGAAACGGTGTTTTCTATGTAGTCCGCTCCGGGGCTATATCACTCGACCGACAGAGTTCAGTTGAGTTCAGTTTATCCCGTGTGGAAGCGGGGGCGAATACCTTCACCGTAGCCCTGCGAGTCATAGAATGCGACAAAAAGTAAAGTCTCCAATTTGAGACAGTAAAAAACGGTCGCGAGTCCCATGGGACTCGGACCAGAGAATGACTGCGCTGGCGAGAACCAGCAGCAATTCTATACGACAAGCCCGTCCCCACATCATCAAACCCGCAACTGTCTGACAGTAATACAAACCTGATCGTAAGCCCCAGACGGATGCTTTCTTCCAAGATAGACTGGACGACTGACCGTCGGTCGTAACAAAAGCCTCCATTCGACAGTTCAGTTCGGACCAGGAGTCGCTCCAGTGTGTAGGAGTGGTCGAATACTTCCACCGTAGTCCTGCGAGTCGTAGGAAACGACGAAATGGAACACAGTGCCTAGGGGTATAACTGGGCCACCCTGTTCCCGGGGGATATAAGTACAGAAACCTGGCCCTTCAGGTTGGGGGAGTCTCGAATCTGAGACAGTAAAATGTGGTCACGAGTCCCGCAGAGTCTGACCTGAGAATGACTGCGCTGCCGAGGACCAGCAGTAATTGTAAACTACAGTACATAAGGACTATGAAAGCAAGCATTCAGTTTGAAAAAAAGAATTGCTAGTCGTGTTCTCTAGGGGCTTGTCGCCCGACAAACTGATTGGAGGTAAACCACCAGTTATAAAGCAACTCTGACTCTGACTCCAGTTCGTGCAGTGCAGTTAAGTGGCGCGAGTTGGTTGGTGAGTGAGTGAGTGAGGGAGTTAGAGGACTGCTGCGGTTCCGCCTTTGTAGATGGTAGATGAACGAGGATAGTTCGGGAACCCAGAATATAGGGAACGACCGCCGTTGGAAGCCGTTACCAGACAACGACTGGTGAAGACACAGCAGATTGAGAAGATTTATTACGTGCCGTAGCGAAATGCTAAGTGTGTGAATTAGCGAGAGCGCTCAGTTACTTGTACTTATGATTTATGAGTGTTCAATAAATCCAAACACCAATCCAAATCCCGTCTACAGTCACTCATACACGTGACAGTATAGACAGGAACTTACTTTACTTACCAGATAAATGGATGGAAATATAAGTGTATATTCCGTATAGAACGAGACAAAGCCGTCCTCTTGTAGACCTCGCTTCTATAGTTCTCTGGGAAACGCATCAATCTTTCCGAATATATTCAACTGTTAAAAATTTCCCATCCTTTACGGAACCGGGAATATCTTAAGCACAAAGGATCCAGTCCTGAACCATTTCTACCACTGTCAGATTCGAGGTTCTCAAGTCTGTGACTATGAAGAGCACTGTCTCGTACTATAATGCCGTGAAGTCTGGTAGATGTTTACTGACGTTCCAGAGAAACCTACTGCGCCCATATTTCAAGATGGAAGAGTAAGCCAAGCAAGGTCGTGCCATAGCTAAATAGGTTAATCGTCGGTTTCCCACCGAGGCGTCCCGGGTTCGAGCCCGGGTCAGGTCATGTGGGATTTGTGGTGGACAAAGTGGCACTGAGGCTGGTTTTCTCCGAGTACTTTGGTTACCCCTGACAATTCGCATTCCACCAATTCCTCCACAATCATTATCATCATCATAATCTATCATCAGGGGCTGATACAATAGGACAAACAGTGGCCGCAGTACCAAGTGGCCTTAAATATCACCCCACAAGAAAAATAATAAAAAAAAATAAAAAGCCAAGGAAGCTTCGCCAAAAAATTAATAAAATTTAAAACGTACAGTTCAGGTGTCTGCAGTTTCGTCGTATATGTACTATATATATACTTATGCATATGTGCTACAGATAATTACGTAACTAATATCTAGAGGCAAACAGAGGAGATATAAATGTGGTCTTATTATACTTGTTAAAAGCAATTTCGGCTTTCAAATAATGTCATAAGAGCTAATTCTTTTAGCTGTGGCCCATTTGTTGTAGGTTTGCGAAATGTGGACAGATTAATCGGGACATTTCACTCTGACAATATAAAGTAGCACATTATTAACTAATTAACAAATGTCCACCACATTCGGAACAAGGAAATTGTCGAGTAGTATTTCAGTACCAATTCTTTTTTTTAACTTTCTTTGGGTGGCGTAAGACTTAAGTCCACTTAGTACGTCGGCTACTAACTGGCCAATTGTACCAGCCCTGGACGATAGATGATGAGTGTGGAGCGGTCGGTGGAATGAGAATTGGAATGGAAATGCTCGGAGAAAACCTGTCCCAGTGCTACTTCTTCCACCACAAATCCCACTTGACCTGACCTGGACTGGAACCAGGACCGCTGTGGTTTTGAGTCGGCAACTAACTGCTTGAGCTATGGCACAGTCTTCTAGGATGTAACTGCTTATTACTGTAGAAGTAAAGTGCTCCCTGTATTTTCAGAGTCGAAGAGTGAACCAAACAAGAAACCAGGAAGAGGCAGGCGGTAAACAGATCTCTCCGAAATGTCGGTGAACTTCTACTGGACTATATGGCGTTACATACCAGAAAACAGCAATCTTTTGGCCGACCTGTGAGAACCTCAAGTCCATCATAGTTTACAATACACACACTTCTTTACTTTACGCAACTTAGAGCTGCTACAAGTCTCTCCAGACATCCTCGGAGTGATATAGCAGGTTAACGTGCACAACATTAGATTTTCAATTAATTAGAATCGCGTCAGACAGATGAACTGAGGTAAAGCGCGTATTTTCTTAAAGCCGGTATTAACGAAGGCATCGATTCTGTGATTCCAAGTTGCCATGGCAGTGAGTGTTCAGGCTGTGGCCTTCTCCAGGCTGAAATCATGCAGTCTTGTATGCAGATGCCAACGTTACTTAAGAACATGCTGCTTCTGTCTTCAAAGTGACAACCCTGGTACGATGATATCCAACTACAAGACTACACGTCGTCAGAAATCCAGAAGAATGCACTCTGATGTTTGCCATCTACAAACATTGGCAGTATTATTGTTTTCTAATTGACCAAGGTAATTATATAAATTAAACTTCAAATAATGGTACTGTGCATTTCCCAACATCGCTCACAAGGAAATTCCAGAAGACTGAGCTATGTATAGGCATTATATCTGCGGAAATACAATTATAATATCTAAGTTATGAGTCTTTGATGAGAAGTTAATAATTCCTCAGCGAGCATAGAAAGTTCTGTTCTTTTGCGGATCCATACGGTTCATTTCCATGATCATAATAGCCGGCCACTGCCTTTTATCCCCAGCTAGATGAATTCAATCAACATCCACGAACCCTATACCTTCAAGATATACGTTTATATTATTCTCCCGCTTAAGCTTTCGTCATAGCTAGGATAACAAGTGCCACGTGAAAAGCGTTCCTTTATCACAACGGTCTGGGGCGTCATTGGGCTACGCACGGAAGAGGCGGTTTCCAGGCAGAGAGGACAGTAGCAAACGTAGCGGACACCCATAGTCAGTTTGGAGGCTAAATATGGGGTCAATCCCGTCAAAATGGAACGTTACGGAATATTACAAGGGCTCGGAATTGAGGAGGAAAATGGGGAGCTTTTGTGGGCACGGTAATGGTCTTTCAGGTCCCATGAAAAATGGGGTATTTGCTGACCAGCTAACCGACTATCGGCTTCTCAGGAAGAACTCTGATCCTTGGAGCTATATTTGGAAGACAAATGCCCCACATTGTACGAAGTATTTGTCTTCAATAGAAGGATTTTGGCAAACAAAACCTTCATTTCTTATTTGTGATACTCACACTAGGTGCACTGTTTGTAAACGAGCAAGTGAAGGCTGAGGGTGAAATTGTTTTTGCGAATGAAATTAAGTCTCTAGAATCTGACAATTACTCAGCTGCCCAGAAATACTTGTAACCGCTCTTGGCTACCACTTCTTGTAACCGTTGGGCGCCACTTCTTGTGACCGTTGCCTATCTATCCTTATATTTATTTATTTTTGTATTTATTTATTTGTTTGCCCGCTTCGGTAGAACACTTGACTCTTCTCAGGGTTGTGTCACGGTAATAACTGAGGCAACGGGGAACTGCACATTTAACGCTAGTCCACTGATAGAAATCAGAGACACTATTTCTGCTTAATCACGAATTGTTTATTTCAGAAGCAAACACTATAACTTTATTGGCAAGTACGGAGTAATGTGCCCTTTTTATTACTATCAAAGATTAATCGAACCAAATAAAGAAGGATAAATTTAGATATACTTGGAGAGTGCAGCTCAATAACGTCTGCCTCTGATGAATTCTAAATGTCAAGTCCTTCTGCCCACTCTATCCTGCGGGAGCGTCACTTCATCCACTGTATAGGATTGGAACTGACGGCCTTTCTCCCAGACAAGAATAGTTTTCTAATGGCTGGTTTTAACTGCCAATTCATCATACCATCAGTACTAGACAATCACATTACTAACTTTGAGAATAAAGAGATCCAAAGATATTGAACCCGGAACCCTACATGTGAAAGCGGTTATTTCTTAGTTTAGGGTCCAATTACACCCTTCCGAAGACACTTTTATAACAGCTACCCTATTAGCAAAATAAAATTTACATCTTCGGCAAACTACAGACTTGCCTTTCGAAGGCGGCGTCCCTTTCCGGTCACCCAAGCTGCAGGTAACA